GCTGTTAGCGTGCACGCCTACTCAGAGGGCGCACCAAAGGCCGCTTGCCGTGATCTGACCCCACAGCACGGAGCTGAGCTGCAGACCAAGAAGCCGCCATATAGTTTCTCGGGTCCCTCACATGTGCGTGGCGATCAGAAACTGACACTGACACTGGGCGGCGATCAGTTCCTGGGCTTCCTGATCCAAGCGCGCGACGGTCAGAATCGTGTGGTGGGTCAGTTCAAGGTGGTGGACACGCAGCACTCGCAAACCCTAGACTGCTCGGGACCACAGGTGAGAATATAACTATAAATACTTGAAGTGTATATGCAAATACTAATCATCGAACTTCTTTTTAGGACTCCTTGACCCATTTGAACGCCGTCAAAGGCAGCCCTCTGAGCGGCGTTACCTTCGAGTGGATCCCACCAGCAGGCTACAAGGGAAATGTCAAATTCATGGCCACAGTGGTGCAGACTGGCTTTGTCTACTGGGTGGGTCGCGTCACCAAGGACATTGATGTGGAGTAAATTGTATTGTTTTTCAAATTTCTTTTAACTTTTTTATTTCCGATATGTGTTCTCGTTTTTTCTAACTTACTTATTATTTTGTCCATTTGAAGGCTAATGGAATTTTTTGTGATACATATTTCATGATTTATGTACATGTTTAAACTTGTTCTTAACGGTCAGTTTGTCACATGCCTGTGTTAAAAAAAACAGTATTTTTGCACAATAAAAACAAATATGAAAAACAAACAAGAAAAATCGTTTAATATATTTATATTTAATTTAAATAATGTTTAAACCTTCATTCGTTTACTTACATATGTAGTTATTTACAAAACCTATATTTTAATATTTTTCAAATCGCGCGCCACTTTATGCAAAAGAAGCTAAGGCAGAGCTGTTATACATGCGCCATGTAAGCAGACTGCGTAGCGAAGCCACCAATCGGACCAAGACAAACATTGTGGCAACGCTGTACACTCAGCTGTTCGGTAACTTGTTCTGCGCGTACAGATTGTATCAGTTTTTAGTGTTTAATATAATAACAATTTCATCAGAACTTTCATCAAATATTTCGAATATGTTGCGCAATCTAACTCGTCGCTTTGATTGCGCGCTCAGACTGCAGCGGCAAACATATCCACACGCAGTGCGCTTGCTTAGCACAACAAATGTCAGCCGCGCGCTTTTTACACAATACGCCTGCGAGAGTCGCTTGAACAAAAAGCAGCCCACACTGTCCACCGCCGCCGCCGGCATCAGTATCCATGCAACGCCCACAGCGCATGAGGCGGATAATGAATATGTGCCGTATCGCACAGAGCTGGAGAGCGGCAGTCGCGCCAGTGCTTTGATTGCGGCGCTGCGCGAACGTTTTCGGCTCACCGACGAGGAGGCGCAGCGCATTCTGAGCGATGAGCAAGTGCGTCGTAGCTATCGCAGTCGTTGCATGACCAATGCGGTAGACAGGCTAATGCTGGAGGGCGTGACCAAGAAAAGCTTTTTGGAATATCCCTGGCTGTTGGTGCTCGATCAGCGTACGAATAAATCTATTATTTCAAATCCCTCATAATTATTATTCTAAATCCTTTTTTAGACCGTCTAGAACTAAAGCTGGAGCTGATCAAATCGATGCACATGCTCGACATTAATCACTTCGTGCCCTTTCTGCGTCTCACGGTGCCACGCCTACGCAAGCTGGTGGGCACCTTGAATGCGGAGACCAATGAATATCCGCAAAAGAATCGCGTTTACTATATCAGCGAAAAGCTCGGCGTCAGCCCCGAGATCGTCACAAAATATTTGTCGAAGCGACTCTTCATACTGGAAATGCCATATGAAATGTTCGAGAAGAATCTGGAGCACATGATCCACTATAATGTGTCACCCATTAACATACTGCGCGATCTGTGGGCCTTTCGCTATACACCCAAGTCTGTGGAACTGCGCCTGGAGCGCGCCCAACGTGCGAAAAAAGATAAGATAATGCCTTGGATGGTGCGCTGCCCGGAACCAATACTGCAACGGTAAATAAAAGGGAGATATTTGAGTTAGCAAGAGATTGAAAATGGGATTTCTTTCATATAAGGGTTTGTCAAAATTTCTAGACATCGGGAAACGGTGAACGAAGCCTACATCATTCATGATTATCTCTGAAGCTTACGCTAGGCTACTAGCAAGCCTTTACATGTACTCTTTATGTTAAGGTACATTACCGATTATATAAAACCTTTCGATATATTTTTATTTCCACAGCTCTCTAAAGCTCTCCTTGGATGAACTGCAGGTGCTGGGCGAATTCTCCTCCGTGGTGGAGTATTTGGCGCATCGCTTGGGCTTCAGTGTGACCGAAACAAAGGCAATTATGGATCGACATCCGCAGGTGCACACAGTGCGCGTTACAAAGGTTTGCCAATCGAATAGTTTGCCTTTATTTTTCGTAAATATAAATTACTGTAACTGCACTTTCCCGACAGATCAAAGAGGTGCTGGACTATTTGCTGGACGTTGCGAAATTCACACGCTTTGAAATTGCGCAAGTGCCGCGGATTTTGTGCCACAGCCTAAAGACCACACAAAAGCGCATGGAGGAGCTGCAGTCGCTGGGCTGTCGCCCCTCTACGCTGGTCATCCTGTGTCGCAGCAGACGGGAATATGAGAAGTTTTTGCAGCAATGGACCAGTCAGCATGGTGCGCCACAGCAGATCAACAGCAGTTAACGCGTAAGTAGGTCCACAATTTTAACTGTTGATCTTAAAGGGCCACTGATTTGCTTAGAGTTATATATGTATATAGTTTTTATTTCGAATTAAACTGCGATAAATTGTTGGCTTGCTATACAAATTCAGACTGTTAATAAATGGAAAAATCAATATCTATTGGAAGGCGAGCATTGATTATTTAGAGT